TAAGTAAACATAGAACATATGATCACGAGGGAAAGAGAAACTGTGTGTCAGAGTTGTTGCCAGTATACTATTTTTCTTTCTGAAATAAATGATACGGGAGAAAACCTGAACAAAAAGGAAACACCCACACCTACAGTACAGTGTTAAGCTCGTAATTGAATTCTAAGCTTCTGTGCATCTTCTAATTCTTGGACTTGAAGATTAGTAATTGCATTAAGAACAAGAACAAACTATGTTTTTTAATTAGAACCAACATATTAGAACCAAACTGATCATCATAATTAAAACATATAAAACTACACATATGGAATTAAAATCAGTAGGTTATTCAATCAGAAAGCTATGAGAAAGGATGATTCTCTAGCTAGCTTTTATAATTTAATGTAATGCTTTCTTAATTAAAAAAGTTCCGTGTCAACTGATATTAAATATACGCGATATGTTAGAAAATGAGCCAATTAACATAAAACTGAAATAAAATTAAACTATATAACTTCTGTTATTTGTTTGAAGTACAAATAAAATAACAATAACACATTTACCAAAACAAAATAACAATAACACACTCAACATTCAATTCAAACTGACTAAAACTACTAGAGAAAGCACACACTGGTTTATTTTACACTCATCTGACGCACATTATACACTTGTATTTAATTTGGTCTTTAGATTTAACTTGATCCTCGCTAATCCAAGAAATAGAAAACTTAATTCTTTATTTGATTGTTTTTTGGGTTTCTTTTTTGAATCTAAAATCAAACTATAAGTGATATATTCACTCAAACCCCACACCACACATACATGGCTACATAAGTATCAATTCTCCTTGTCAGAAGCATGCACCACTATCAATCAATGTCGGAGAAAGAAACATCACTTATCTCCAAACAAGTATCCAAGCGAAGAATGTCCACCAGGTACCGATTTTACTTTTGTTGAAGGACGATTCTGAAACATATTCAATACATAGAGAAAATTAAATATAATGTTTTAACAAAATTAACTAAGGTAAACATCAGCAAAGTTGAAAAAATTAATCTCGTGAATATCAATCATAATTAAAAGTCTGTTTAAATAAGTTTATCCAGAAACACTTTAAAAATGCAAAAATAAGAAAGAAAATTAAAATAAACTTCTCTATAAACTAAAACTAGTCTATACTTTAATTAAAAATAAGATTTTAGAAAAGTTAATAGGAGATAATTTCTAAAAATTAATTTATACATAAATTAATTAAAAAAATATATTTTATTTCATATTTTTCTCCCCTGATAAAAGTGTTTTCGAAACGTCCTAAATCAATATGAGACATAGATAGTCCCAGAGGCTTACGGTTACAATGTTTCCAGAGTGCAGGCCTTGAGATCCGTTGTTTGAGGCAACAAGTTGGGTGTTAGAAGCAGCAACAACGTTATGGGGCATGGCGATGTCGATGTCAATACCATAGGGTGGTAATGAAGAAACTGTTGTGGTGGGAAGAGGCTGATTTGGCTTCTCTTCGGACCCAAATAGGTAGCCCAAGGAGCTTTGTCCACCACCAGATCTTTCACCTCTACTCATGCTGCCTGCACGCGATTCTCTTCAAGATCTATGCTACTAATTGCAATTCCAAGCTCATAACATTAACCCTAGATATATATATACCCGCTGCTTTTGTAAGCAAAGTATGCAAATACTTTATTAATACGTGCAGACTGCAGATGATATGACAATGCACTGCACCTAATCGCCCTTTATTGCTTATGTAGTTTGCATTATTTCCCTTTCAATATATGGGTTAGTGGGTTTAGAAATAATGTGGACCTTCAAGTAATATTAGCCAAACACACTTGGATTAAATTGGTTTTCTCCCCTGTTGACTATAATTCATAGGAAAGGTAGCAATTTCATGGCTGCTTTAATCATTTATATACATGAAATATGCTTTTTCTTACATGGGAAAGGGAAAGAAAAGACACCCCTGTAGAGTTTAGCCGAAAGTGTTCCAAATAGGGACAATTATTTATTTTTATTTAAGAATTTGTGTAGATAAATTTACCTTTAAGTTAAAATTAACTTATATATTTAAGTTAATTTTGAGAAAAAATTTAATACTTTAGTTTTTCTAAATTTAATTTTTAATCTATCTTTAAACTAATTCCAATTATCAAGAAATTAATTTATTTCATTTTTTATATGAGTGCTTATAAGAAAATTATCCAGCAATAAATACAGCACATTCGAACCCGTAGTCAGCTCAGATGATTTTATGAAGAATCAGGGACAAGCAATCTCACAACGTAGGAAATTAAACTTTAATAAAATATAATTTAATTCCATTTATCATCATGTATTTTTGAATAAATTAATATAGATATTGCACCAATTATTATCTGAAAATTTCTCGGTTATAATATTAGTTATTAAGTAACATTTTCCTACAACTTAATCATTTACTATATCTTTATAATTTTATATAAATTTCTATTAGGTGTCGTTTATTTAATTGAAAAAAGAAAACTCCATTAAAGATGAATATATATATATATATATATATTAATGTAAGTTAGTTATTAATGAAGTTGTTGAATATATACTAGTATATTATATCCCATTATATAATGACTAAAATTATAAAGAAAATACAAACTTTTTTTAAATAATAATAAATAAAATATAAACATCTTATCTTAAATTAAACTTCATGGAAATTAATGTACCCAGATAAAAGTTGTAAATACTTGATCAGTATAATGTAACCTGCAGCTCTAAAGTTGTGAATACTTGACTTTATCAAGGAGATTTCAGCTAAATTAATCCGTCTAATTGTACATATGTAACCAAGCTATAGCTAGCTCATAGACTCATCATACTAATCCAAGTGCATACTTATATATATATAGAGTGATACCCTACAGAAAATCAAGTTTAATGCATTCAGAGTGGCGCATTTGAATTTATAGATTAACTAACGTCAAATTGTTTCTGTTTAGTTTTAAGCTAAAATTCTCTCTCTCTCTCTCATATATATATATATATATATTCGTTTGTTGTGTAATATAATCTCACTCAGTTGAAACATATTTATTTTTTTGTAGAAAATACCAATATTTAAAATAACACAATAGACAAATTACTTTTTATTTTATAAATAAAAAAATATATTTTTGGATGACTATAATTATAGTTTTTATACTGTCAAATAAATAATTTTAGTTTTTTAATTAATTTTGAGCTCTTATATTTTTATTTAAAGATAAAGTATTTTAAATACAATTAATTTTAATTATTTATTTTCCGTATTATCCTTCAATCTTATATTATATATTCAAATATTTTCAATCAATTATAAAATAATATGCACTTAAGTTTATAATTTCACTGTGTTAATTAATATTGCATACTTTTGAATACCATTACGTATTAAAATTTATCATATTAATTAATTCTTTATCAATATCTTGAAATAACGTTTAAATAAAATAAATAAATAATAAAATAGTTGAAATATACTATGTAATATAAAAATATTAAAAAATTAATATAAAAAACGACTAAAAAGAGTAAAAAGTATAAAAAATAAGAAACTTGAAGCCAAAATCTACTTAAAATACCGTTTCACAAAATGCTAGCTAGCTACACTACAACAAAATTTAACTTTAATGACAATTATTTAATGGCAATAATTTAATTGCCACCATATGTAAAAATATTAATGGCTAATATATAATAGCCACTAAAAATATATTTATATTATACTAAAGTTTACTATTAGCGACAATTATTTAGAAAAAACTTAAGTCCCACATTGATTAGAGATAAGATAATTAAATAGTATATAAGTGAGTAATAACTATCACCTTACAGGTTCATTTTATAGGGTTGACTCCTAATTCACTATTCTAAATTGGTATCAAATCACTCATTGTTACCAACTTCAATAGTGCTATAAAACAATTAGAGACCAACTTTGACCTTATAAATCTCACATCGCTTAAAAGATAACATAATTAAAAAATAAATTAAAAAATATATAAATAAAAGACAACTCTCATCTTACAAATCTCATATCGAGTAGAGATAAAAAAGTATATAAGTTATGAATTTAGAAAATGAAATTATAGGAATAAATTATTTAAAGTAAAGGAGACAATTGAAAAAAATAACTTTTAATAGCCTTTAAAATGGCTACTAGAATTGTCACTAAAAAAATAAGTTTTTCCGACAATTTAGTAGATCTTTACCGGCATTTTATATAAATGCCGGTAATAGTATTAGCGACACTGGATACACCAGCCATTAATTAAATGCTGGTAAAAAAATTATGGCCATTTATATGGCCGCTAAATAATAAGTTAATTGCCACAAAAAACTAGTTTTGGTGTAGTGTGCTATCAATATAAATATATGTATCAAAAACTGTTAATATGATAAATTTTTTCAATTAGTCAAAAAACAAGTAAGAAAATAACACAAAATACTTGTGAAACACACTTTTAATTAAATAAAAAAATTCTTCCCATGAATGCTTCTAAAGCTTATCCTCAGTAGCATTTTTCTTTCACATATCATATGAAAAACTATGATATTTTAGTTTGACTATATTTTCAACTGCAAACATTTCAAATGTGAAATGTTCAACTCTTTTTATACGTATTCTTTTTGTCTCAAATATAATTCAAAGAATTAATTCGCCCTAATTAAGAATAATAATTAATTTTATTATTTAAAAATAAACTTCATTCTTAACTTTTTTTCACACTAATTGATGAAAGACTTCAATTTTATATTAATTTGTTTCAATAAAAATACTCTCATTTATATAAGTTAAATAAGGTATTTTAGGAATGAGATCATTAAATAAGGCAAAAATCAATGAAATTTTGTTAATATTTTTAATATATATATATATATATATATATATATATATATGTTTTTATATTAGAGTCTAAAGAGTACATCAAACTTGAATTTCTTTATATTCTTTTATTTTAATTAGAATTGGTCTTCATGTTGATGATATTCTCGTATTTATAACGATAAATTAATCATCTAAGCCCGCGGCAGAGTTACCATCATCAAAGGTTTTTGGCGGCATATATAGCTTTCTTCATGGAGTTAATTAAGTCAATTTTGTGTAATTATGTATTTATGAGAGTAAATATTCAACTTGATCTTGAAAAATGATAGTGGTAATTAATAGGTTTTTAAAAGATTTTTTGTGATAGTTATGTTCTTATATAAATTTTAACTTCCTTATATAAGTGTTGGGAATAAAGAAATTTAATCCCACATTCATGAACGCAAAATAGACACTATGCAAAAATGAACATAAGAATAAAAAGTAGAAGAATAATATTAAAAATTTTACATGGAAAACATTCTTAATGTGAGTAAGAAAAAATCATGAGACTTAATCCAATAAAAAGATATTTACTATGAAATTAAGTAGGATTATAAATAGTCTCATTTTTTTTCAAGAAGATCACTAAAAAAATTAATTTCACCCCTCTCAAATGGCTCTCTTTCAATTCTCACTAGGTGCGATGGAAGCAACTCTCTCTTTCTCACAAAGAGGGATACAATAACTTTCTCATTCTACTTTTCTCTTTCTATCAAAGAAGATTCTATAATGGATTAGACTCTACTATATTACTACTTCACAAGTCTCGTTATTTATGGGAATGAAATGACTCTTAATTTCATGACTTATGAGATATGACTCTTCATGAAGTATTTTATCAATTAAGGGAGGAATTCCAACAAGTTAGTTCCTTTATTATACGCAGTTACTAACTTTGTTAGTTTTTTTAACAATCAACAATAAATTAAGTGTCATATTGATACCTATTCTCTTTCCTAATCACCTAATATGAATCATAATGTAAGGCTTTGATATTTTTTTAATCAGTAACATATACTTTATCATATTTAAATATTTTAAGCATAGGTCGGTGATCTAATTAAAATTGAAAGTTGTTGTTAGATTTTGTAAGCTTTCCTGTAATTAAATTTTTCTATCTAAGTCATCCTTAATTTCTTCTTTTATTTTGGCAACTGACAAGTAACTTTTGCTTCAATTTTTTTGTGGTTATGCTTTTATTAAAAGTTTTACAAACACACTATTGCTTAACATTATGGTGCATATTATGTAACTATACCATATTAGAATTGACAAAAAAATTATAAATGGTCAAAACACATCAAACAAAGAATAGACAAAAAAAATTTAACAAAAAAACTTCACTATAGGGAATCTCATAAAACTCAACAACAATCTTTTATTTTAACTAGAACACCCATGACCAAAATATTTAAACATTAAAAAAGTATCTATTATTGATTGAAAAGTATCAAAACCTTGTATTATGCTCTATATTAGATGATTAAGAGAGAAAATAATCAACCGGAATGAATAATACATGTCAACGTGATAATTAACTGTTGACTGATCATGAAACTAACAAAGTTAGCAACTGAGCATAACGAAATGACTAATTTGCATAACAAAGTTAAAATTTAAGTATCCAAATATCACAAAAAACTTTCAAGACCTATCAACCATCTCTATCATCTTTCAAGAACCAAATTAAATGTTTAGTCTTATTTTTGATACACAATTTACCAAACAAACTAATAAATTGTCAATAGTTAAAAGATAAAATAAAATGATGTTAAATGAGTTTAAAAGAGATGTAATGTCAGTGTAATTTTTTTTATATAATTAATCAACCAAAAATTATAATTTATATTATTTTTAAGATAATTATTATAAAATTTAACAAATTTATCATTTATATGAATTATAATTAAATGATATTGTAAAATTATTTTATATTATTACTGTATTACCATTAAACCATATTAAGTTGTTAAGTTGAAGCTTCGTGATACTAGCGGACCAGCAGTAGGTTAAGGGTCAAATATTACGCAAGATTTCATTTATATCTTGACCCACATGCCCTAATTTTTTTATTTTTTATTTTTTACCTTATTTCACTAAGGAAAAGTCGAGGTGGTTTACTCATGGACATGTCCTTCAAGCAAATCTTCATGTCAAATAAGTCATCATTTAAAACAATGAATTTTAACGAGAGAGAAGATAGAAAATTCAAATATTTTAATAATAATGATCAATAGAATAAAGATTGTTATAAATCAATATTTTCTTTAATTAAAGTTTAAAATGTATAGTTTAAATATTTTCTAATGAAAGAAATTTTTTTTCCTACAAACCGCCAATTTTAATTTTATTTATATGAGATTAAAGTCATACGATGTTTTATTCAAATTAATAATTTTACTAAGCATTATTTATATAATAAGAATTTAGAACATTACATAATACATATTAAAAAGTAATCTTTTTGTAAGAGTATATAAATTTAAACTAATATATATAAAAGTTTCGCAAAGTAGAGTTTACATTCTTTTACACTAATGTAATATTGTAGTTCTTCAGATATTCCGTACTTCACATTAATTTAATCTATTAAATATTTTTTAATTTTATGTTCTTCAAATGTTAAAAGACAACAAAATATTTTTTATTTTAATATTAAATATTTATTTTGATGTTATTTAAAGAATTTATTTGTATAAACATATATATAATATTAATATAAAATATTTACTATTCAAAATAATAAATAACTTTATTAAATCATCAACGCATACAATATGAATAATCCTCTTTAAATAACATAGCATATTATATATCTAAAGATATTTAAAAGTTGGATTTGACCGATTTGTTAAAAAATAATAGTAAATCGATTAGTATTTAATCCAAATAAACCATAAAATTGATTTTTTTTAAGGAATTGATCAAAATATATAATAATAAAAAACAATAAGAATGGTTCAGATCAGGCTGATTTATGTTTTTTTTGTTGCTATAATTAATGTTTAATACAACATTATTTTGATTTTTCTAAAAATAAATTGTTATTTTCTTTTTTATTTTAATATAAACTTGCTTATGTATTTAAATATTGTTGAAACTTAAAAATAAATATAATTACATATTTGATATTAAGCTTTATTTGTACCTTAAATATTTAAAAATGTTAAATGTATTTTTTTATATATATTTTTTATAACATTACGATATTATATTATTAATATTTATATTTTTTTTACTATATTTGAATTACAATTAAATTTTAAATTAATGTCTTAACCTATTCAATCACCGTTCTAAATTTTAAATCATTGCTAAAGAAATTGATGATCATGCAATGCAACATAGTTGCTCCATTTTGGGAAATTATCGTACGAAATTGTTATTCATCGATTCAAAATGTACAAGAAAAATGCCATTTGTTGAGACATAATCATGTGCTTTTGAGCCTAGAAAATAAAATTTAGGTGGTTGAGCATTGATTAAATGGAGGATTATAGTTAATTTTTTTAACTTTTTCCTAAAAATATCTTCTAAATAAATAATTTTTTAAAAATCTTTGCGTTTGTTTAAATGTTTGATGAAATTCAGAATATAAAAAATATATTGTCTTTTGAGTGATTTCTAAAAACATATAATCATAAGTTCATAACTGCCTTTTGTAATTACCAATAAATAAAATATTTTTAAGAAATTATTTTTATATATTCCTAAAAAAGAATTTAGAAAGGTGAAAATTATTTTTATAAATGGATTCTGAATTAAATTTTTTTTGGAAATAATGGGTGGTTGTGAAGCAGAAATAAAGAGTGAAATGATGTCATTGATAGGGTTTTGTTCAACTTGTCACTTGAATATGGACCCTCTGAAAAAGGTGACAACATAATCGACACGGTTCGGTTGGCAGGGATCTTGTAGGCCCCTGGATCCATCGCAACTTAAGTCACCCAAATCTCAAATACCAGAAGTAAAATAAAATTACACACGTGTGAGGGGTGTCCAACGTGACGTATTTTCGTTTAAAAAAAAAAAAAAGAGCATTTGTTAAAAGGTAAGAAATATAAATTGTTATTTAGTATGGCCAATAGAAATTCGCATGTTTCTTTCCCTTAAATTAACAAGTTGAAGCTTTGAAAAAAGAAATAGATTGAAGCTTTCAGAAGAAAATAAATAAATAAAGTGGGAAGAACAATCACAACACGATCCATTAAAGGCCTAAAATACCACCCTCCTCCAACTTGTCAAGAAACATGTGTATTGTAAAAAAATAATTTGTGTCAATTAATTTAATTCTTTTATAAAAAGTAACTTGTATTGTTAAAGTAGCTTGTATCTCCTGTCAAAAAAAAAGAAAGTAGCTTTTATCTTAATTCAATTACTATAAAAAAATTATTTTTATATCAAAATTAATTTAATTAGTTTTGATAAGGTAATTTTTACCATAACTAATTTGATTACCATCAAAATATAATTTATATTATAATTATTTTAATTAGAATCGAAAGGATAACTTCTTAAAAAAAATTGTAATTCAAATTAACTACAAAATGAAGACAATTTTTTGATTGACTTAATTGTAGTTTTATCATTGATTTTACAAATTTTACTGCTTAAGTTTCAAATTTTTTCATATTTCTATCATTATTAATTGATTATTTGATGTTGATATTAATTACATTGATTATTAATATGATACATTAACTATATCATTATTCTTCATTTATATATACATCTTTAATTTATATCAGTGGCTAAACATCAATATATCATATTAATCAATTAATAGGTGATAAAATGTAAAAAAAAATTTAAAATTTAAATGATAAAATATAAAAAGTAAGTATAAAATTCGTAAAATAATATAATACAGGTAACTAAAAGTAGCATTAAGCCTTTCCATTTCTTTTAGTTGTTTTCTATTTTGCTATTTTGCTTTTTGTTTAGCTATCGTAACAAAAAGAAAATTACGTTAGATATTAGTGACTCCTTATGACTGAATATTTCCCATCGTGGTTACTTAAAAAAAAGTATTAATAAAATAATTCGTTTAAATTTTAAAAAATAATTATTAAAAATATTTTTAAAAATTAATTTTCAGATAGAATTACTTGTTAAAAAATGGAATTTTTTTATATTCAAATAAGCAATTTAGTCAAACATATTAAAATAGTAATTTTTTATTTTATTAAAAAAAAGATTTTTTTGAAAATTTAAACAAACGGGCCAATATAATAGGCCGTAGAATGGTTGCTTACCGAGCCCATATATGTTGTTACCCGGATAGTGGTCCAAATTCTATATATATAAAAAATAAAAAATAAAAATTGATCTATAAGACAAATTGTACGTGGCGTTATAAAATAGTGTTGGGAAAGTTCCGGAACTATCTATTTTCCATTGGCGCTTACTAGTCTTCACATCCATCTCCTTGCTTCAAGCCTTCAACTCACCTCTGTTTCTAGTTTGTACTCATATATTCAGATTTAACGTTTCTGTAAGTTTCTCGTTTCTTTTCATCATACTACTTTAGATGCAATACAAGTGTTCCGATTCTGCCACGCCTTCTCATTTATTTCTTTAGTTCCTTCTGCAATGCATCATAATCCATACCTTGCTTGTGACATGTACAAGTTGCATCTGTGCCTTTTCATTTAATAATTAATATTCATTAAATTATTTTCGTTTCTCTTCTTTGCAGACTAAGTTAAATTGTAGAACCTTTATCAAAATGAGTTACTGCATAGCGTATTATTGTATATTTGATAGCTATATGGATTGGATTATGCTGTTAGCATCAATTTGTTATGTGATCATACTTGTTGCAAAAATCAATGTGTGGATGTGTCCAAGTTGTTAACTATATGGATTGAATTATGCTTTTCCTATGTTTAAGTTGTTCAGATTTATTTATTCTCACCATGGAAACTTTCATAAGTATAAAGCGTGTTTTCTTCAATCATTGCAGGGTCGGCACAGTAGCTAGAGAATAAGAATACATGCGTGGAGCTGTTGCACTGGGATTGCTGTCTGCAAAATGCAGGTTCAGACAAATGTACTCGATGAATGGATCACGGGGTACTGTGTAAAGATTGTATAGAATGCGTTGGCTTATTTTTTTATTCTTGAATTTCATCCATTCTTTTATGCATATTGTTGCTTGTTAGATTGGGGGAACTTGCAAATATGAGAAAATTTCTTAATCAAATAATATTTTACACTTGAAACAGGCTTATTGGTGACTTCAACGCCTAAGAAACAGGAGAAGAATGAAGTTGGCGAAACGAGGGTAGCTACTAAAGAGATGACAGACCCAATAGTGGCCTTTAGCAGGCCCCCAACACTTCCACCGGTTATAGGACCTTTGGTTGCTCTGTCGTTGTTGGATACATGGTGGAACAGGGGCAAGGATGAAGATGCCAAGTGACGTGATTTATCGGTGAAATGCCATGTTAAGTAGTGTGATCCCTACTTGATGAAAATCTTTGAAATAAAAATCCCAAGTGTGATTGCAGAGTTAAGTAATCGAACAAAGAAACTCCATAGCTTTATGTAGCCATCTAGTAGTGGATTAAGCCAAGGGGCTACGAATATATTGTAAATTCTCAATATCCATGTTAGTATTGCTTGAGGACTTTTTAAGAACCCTGTAGGAACACGCACATGTATATATGTTAATGGAAATTTTGGGATGATTAAGAGGGAATGTAAAATCTAGGAACAATGACTTACACTCGGTAACACTTGGATAGTCGTCAAATATTGAAGTCACGTTTTTCAATAGGGTCTGAATTTCCCAAAAAGAAACAAAAGTACCATAGGGTTGGTTATATGAGATGGTTGTGCATTAAGGAAGATGCTTTCAATCATAATAATCTAAATACTTAGAAGTTCGAAGAGTCAAATCGTTTTCGGACTTACCAAAACTACGCTTCCTGGCTTGATAGGTGATTCAATCAATACCTCAGCTCTCCTGAATTAATATACACTTATCGTGAGCATATGTTTTACACAAATAGAGGACTAGTGATAATTTAACCGTTTTTCTACGTACCAAATGATCATGTTCTGTCCTTCATTTGATAACTTGAAGAAGGTGCAACCTCTGGTGAATGGGATTTGTTTCTTTTTCCATTCTGCCAAACCACGCAAAGATTGTAATCATGCCCTTAATCAATTGTTAAAAACGAGAAGATTAATGAATGTAGGAAAGGAATATGACCCAAGTGCCAGTTTACTGCAGCAGTTAAATCTTCTCCCTCGTATATATGTTTCACTTTGAATTTCACATTCCGGCCCATGCATTGAGTAAGTTGTCCTAAGAAACGCATTACTTCCTGCAATGTTAATTTTAGACCACGTACTGTAACTATTTACTCCATGCAATCAACCATGTCTTATATTGGATAAAAAGTATGGATAAGAAACAAACCTCTTTTCCATGGAATGGTTTGGTGAAGGCATAGTCATCAAAGCAAGCATCTTCAGATATGTACTCATCCAGATGTCGCAAGTCTTTGTCATTGATGCATCTGTAGTACTGATCTACAATCTGTGTTGGAGAGAGAGAATCTTGCCAAGATTCTGAGTCACCTTTTGATGCCATGGCTAAAATTCTGTGTCTTTCCCATGATTTGTTTAGGACATTCTTCTTGATCCTGTGTCGTTGTAAATCCATCTTGTCTGAGTGCAAGTTGCATTTTGTTCTGCTGGGTGGGAACCTGATGGCGAGCCTCTTTGCGTTGTTGGAATTTATCACCTGACAATGGCATGAAGCTCTGGTTGGGAATTTGACTACAGCTTCCATTTGTAACTTTTCTTACCAATGACAAGCAATGGCAACTCGCTGACACTTATATATTGCTTCTTATGTGGCTTACATGGGGAAAAGAACAAAGAGCTTTTTCTAGCTTTAACCAAAGAATCAATCCCTAGTTGGTTTAGCTTCTCCATTTTCTTTCAACTTATGCCTTCACGTGAAATCCAAGAATATAGTTATCTCATTTCTCGGTCCGGCTGTGAATTGTTTCAATTATCAATTTACCATGTGTATTTTGATTAGCAAACTTCTCATTCCTCTGTTTCATTGCCGTCACTTAATTATTCTAAACCACTGCTACTGAGTACAAAGATAGCATTGTTATTGAGCAATTTATTCCATTCCTCTTTGGTATGGCACGTCAAATATAAAACTAGAATTAAATTAAAATATTCTTGCAATTTGTTTAAGATTGGGCTCGAAGCCCATTCTACATAGCTAGTCGCCTCAGTTCAAAGCACTGGACTAATTCAATTTGCTGAGCGTTGTCACCACCAGTCCATCACGCAGAAACAAGATTGCTTTATAATATATCCTAAGAGTATCTCCATTCTTCAATAGGATTTTCCTAACAATGAATTACTCTATACCGATATGGTATTATCTATTTTAGATTGAAGTTCTCTTATAGAAGATTTTGTGTGTGTGTAAATGTATGTTTATAAACTCATTTATTCTCTTATTTTAACAATGTGAAATTTTGATTTTATTTTAACAATTATTTTAGTATTTTACCCCTAAAATACTAAAATATATATAGTAGAGAGAGGATGGTACGTACCCCTAAAATTATTGGACAGGAAGCCTATAATATGTTATTGGGTTAGTTAAAATTTAGTGATGTCAAGTTTAACTAACGATTTTACTTATCAAACTAAATATCAATAGAGACTACATGTAGATTTTTAATATATTGGTTATAGGTAGGAATGACAAATATATCCGTATCTGCAGATAATACTCAAACCCGTCCCGACTTTGACGGGGTATACCCAGTTTGGCAAACCCAATATATTAAATTTAAATCTTAATATCATGTTGAAATTCTGATAGATAAAAATAAGTATTTATTATAAGTTGTTGTTATACCGGTGAAATTTCTTTCGACTTGGATGTTAGTATTTTTTTGCGTGTATTTATTACATTGTACAATATATCTCTCTTGGATTGGAGTGAATGCAGAACGCATCATCGTTAATGTTGGGCTAGTAAAATGAGTTCAAAGCCATTGGATTGACTTGTTTAATTCTCTATACAAACTGGATTAAGTTGAGTTGATTCACTTTTAAAACAGGTTTAAACAGGTCCAACATGCCTTTTGAACACATTGGGGCGGGTGGCCTTGACTTTGTTTTTTTATAAATAATCTTGTATTTATTTATAATTGTAGATTTATTGATTGATGTTAGTAAACTAAATATAAAAAAATTTCTAGTTTTGAGTCTTTTGACCTTTTCATAATTAAGATCATTGGTAATGGTATATGTTTTTATAGTTAAATAAAAAAATATTTTTGTAAAAAAATATAAACAATATTATGTTTATTTGCAGTTAAACAAAAATTATGAAAAAAAACGGTAAAATAAAAATCGAGGATAACATAAATGATTTTCTTTTATAGGGAGTTGAGGATTATTGTTTTTTACAGTAAATAAAAAAAACATTTATAAGGATAAAAAGAAGAGTATTGATATACAATTTATTAACTTCTTTTTATTTTTTTTCTGTTTGTCTAAATAAATAAAAAGAAGAAAAAGATTTCTCAATTTTTTCTTGTTTTTATTTATGTAAATAATATATTTTTTAAAATATATAACTTTCTCCTTATTTCTTTTCATCACCGAAACAATTAGTTATTCTCAAAATATATTTTTATTTTTAAAATTTAAATAGAACCGGGTTGTTGTCTATTTGTGTCTGATACGACCTTCACACACAGCAGTCACAGTAGTATAAACATATATCTACGTCCATATTCGTTGTCTTAGTCTCTTAGACTCTTAGGAGCATGCAATTACATTCTGAAAACTCACGTCCAGATGTTCTAATGCAACGAAATAGAACATAGGCAAATTCTATCTGCCCATGTCCTTGTGTCTAGCCTAACAGGAGGCAGTCCTGAATCTTCCACATAATATACAATTGAGTCAAGCAAACACCACCATGACAAAAAAGCCTAATTCAACACATATCAATTATAACCTCTGACCAATTAAGATAAAACGGAGAGCCCGACCCCTTTTTTTTTGTATTGATATTTGTGTTTGTCAGACTGAGAAGATTGTGCACGGTGGTTGTGTTTGATATCAGCAAAACAAGTTTCATAACCATGTGACACCGCATAACATAGGAGCTTATATTAATATTTGCTTGACCTGCAGGCTCTACTAATATATACATAGCCAGCTAGCCTTGTACCTTGCACTGAAAATGAGAACAGCGACTAAAAAATGCAACATGATGCTCCCTCCATGCCACCCATTTAGTGCATTAAATGTTAACAAACGTATCCGCCTAAGAAGAAAACAAGTGACCAAAATCATTCATACTGCTGCAGATACCATTGGCTCAAGATACCACCGATTTACCCGCACGTGTACTGGTGAAGGCTGAAAACAGCAATACTCTACATCTGAATTCTGAAACCATATAGAATACGACTATGACTATGATGATATTTATTTTTGGCGCACTCAAAATCAAAACTATGGATTCGACGCTCAACTTGTCATGCGTTGAGAGGAAAGGAATCTAATATGGTAACACGAATTAGCTGGCATGCTCCCTAACTTCCACCAGTGAGACAGAGCTGCTTCAACCTCTTTTCCAATATTAATTTGCAATCATGGGTCATGCTTTAGATATAATAAACTTTCGATAAGCTTATTCGAGGTTCTATATAAACTCCTACGTACCTTCCATTCTTCTTATCTTGGTGTTCAGAAAAAAAGTTCCTACACACATTCAAAAGGTGTCAGTTTATTTGAGGTAGCATATAATTATTAGAGAATGAACAACAGAATGGGTCGTGTTTCAGCTGCTGAATTTGCCAACAGGAATAGATTGAGAAGCCAAAAGCCACTTCCAAAAAGAGGGCAGATAAAGTCAAAGATAGCAGCCAATGCTTTTCATTCCATCATCTCTGTGATTTCCAGAGCCTCTTCCTCGGGCTTGAATTCTCCAAGGAAAAACTAGCTTGTACTACTACATCTAGTTGTTCATGTTCCTTTATAATTTGTGTTACCTTTTACGTAGCGCTTGTTCTATGCTCTTTTTTTTCTCCCCTTATCTTTTAGCTATCTTCAGTTTTGAATGTAAACTTAATTAGGGTGTCAAAGGAAATTTTGTCCATTTGGATGCTTTGCTGTGTAATATAATATTTATACCATCATGGTTAATTGTCTACGAGGATCAGTAGTATACTGTTGTCTATGAAAAAGAAAAATCATGAAAAATTTGCAAACTATTCATTAATTGTAAAAAAAAATTCGTGTGACCATCTGGATATAAAGAACAAAAGAGGAATGAATGTTGTGGAATGTTGATCCATGGGTTTTGTAAAAAAAATTTGGGTCCATGGTACATTGTTTGAACCAGGTTACTCCATCTTCCACCCAGGCCCACACTCAGAAAATTTAGGCCCATGTTTAACTTTTTAAGGGGAAGCAACTAGCAAGAGGGTCATGACTCATGAGAGTGAGAGTGAGTCTCATAACTTTATTTCCTTTTGTGGTGAATTATAGCGAGACAGTTTAACACACAAGACAGTTCCATTAACTATTGTAGGTGATCAAAGTTCTCATAATCATTAGTTAGTCCCTGTTCTGCTTTTGTATATAAAAGGTAACCTAAATACTTTGGTCCTCTGCTTCTGCTTCATCTTTGAAGAAGGCTGATTTCCTCATCCAAGTACATGTTTCAGCTTCGACGTATGTGGTGAGAAAGAAGTCTGTCATATTTTAAGGTTGCTAATTTCGTGCGAGAGAGATTTGTGATACCAACCCTGATAGTAACCTCCTAATTACTTTAATTTTTAATTGAAACTTGTAATCTGACAAATAATATATTTTGATATAAGTTTAGATGAACTTTCGAAAATTATATATATATATAT